TCTTCTTATAGAAGAGCTGATATAGATCTTCTCATAGAAGAGCTATAGGTCTTCTTCTCATAGAAGAGCCTATAGGTCTTCTTCTCATAGAAGAGCCTATAGGTCTTCTTCTCATAGAAGAGCCTATAGGTCTTCTTCTCATAGAAGAGCCTATAGGTCTTCTTCTCATAGAAGAGCCTATAGGTCTTCTTCTCATAGAAGAGCTAGAGGTCTTCTTCTCATAGAAGAGCTAGAGGTCTTCTTCTCATAGAGCTAGAGGTCTTCTTCTCATAGAAGAGCTAGAGGTCTTCTTCTCATAGAAGAGCTAGAGGTCTTCTTCTCATAGAAGAAGAGCTATAGGTCTTCTTCTCATAGAAGAGCAATAGATCTTCTTCTCATAGAAGAGCAGCTATAGGTCTTCTTCTCATAGAAGAGCAGCTATAGGTCTTCTTCTCATAGAAGAGCAGCTATATGTCTTCTTCTCGTAGAAGAGCTATAGGTCTTCTTCTCATAGAAGAGCCTATAGGTCTTCTTCTCATAGAAGAGCTATAGGTTTTCTTCTCATAGAAGACCTAGAGGTCTTCTCATAAAAGATCTCTAGGTCTTCTCATAGAAAAGCTCTAGGTCTTCTTATAGAAGAGCTCTAGGTCCTCTCATAGAAGAGCTCTAGGTAGAAGAACTCTAGGTCATAGAAAATCTCTAGGTCTTCTTCTCATAGAATATCTATAGGTCTTCCCATAGAAGATCTATAGGTCTTCTCATAGAAGATCTATAGGTCTTCTCATAGAAGATATATAGGTCCTTTCATAAAGGATCTATAGGTATTTTCATAGAAGAGTTAATATTGGTCTTGCCAGAGAAGAACTATCGGTCTTCCCATAATAGAGGCTATTTTAATGTTCTCTGATATGACCAAGGTATCTTCCCGTATAATTCCAATGTTTACATACTTAATCACTGAAAACATTATCCGTTGTACATTATAAATTATCTTGAAAGCCCATGGAGGACAATGTATGTATCATAAATGGCAACATATCCTAAAAATCCAGACATACACCATCGATTGCTGGGTGGGGGGAATTCCAATAAACCAATGCCAAGAGGACGTGTCGTTACAATCGGCACGTATTTCATGACGTTGCATGATCATAGTTTCCGTTTTTCCAACAAAACGGAAGCAGAAACTGTGTCTCTTTGTCTCAGCTTCCATTGCATATTTATTTGTGTATGTAAATTCCTGTGGATATGTATCGACATATCGCCAAGTGTGTGTATGTGTGTCCTTTCGATGTGTTGCTGTGTGTGCGTAACTACATGTGCGTGTCGTTTGGTTGTATTTAAAATTAAAAATAATTATAAATTACAACATTTCCATGAGCACCGACAGACCGACCGACGAATCGACGGGCTTGAGGTCCGACGTGTGAAATATAAATGTGCAAAACTTTGAACAAAAAAAAAGCTTTTAGTGAACGTATAAAATTAAATGCTTTAGGGCTTTGCAGTGACAGGCAGCGCTGGCGAAATTCCATTCCCTCTCTGACTGGTAGTGACAGATAGTTGTGGTTTTGTGCAAATGAGTTCAGAGATTACAACAACAGCAACCGCAGCGGTATTAAAAAAATATTTTTTTTTTAATTTTTTTTCCTTCAAAGAGGAAACGTTTGATATGCGCCCGAGATATGAGGAGTATCATGGCAGAGCAATTAGCTCTTTTATGTTTTTAAATAAGCCGACCAGTCTAGGAAGCTTAAATGTAAATTGATATTTTTGTAACTGTAAAGAGCGGAGTGTAAAGAGCGGGGTGGGGGAGAACGCTTAATGCGATAAATAAATACGTTAAAAAGTGCAAAGGAATCAAGGTGGGGACATGAATCAATTTGGGGGTACATCTCAAAAATAATTTCTTGTCAGTGAGGAGACTGAAGTTTTTTTCTGTGAGGAAACTTAGGTGTCTCCTCCTACAAGATCACAAGTTCTTATATAAAGAGACACCAAGGTCATTACTTAGAAAAAGCAGGAGGGGCTTTCTTTGAGAAGATCGCTAGGTCTTCTATGGGAGGAAGGAGGGGTCCTGCGAGAAGACCCACGAGGCTTTAGTGAAAAAAAGACCGACCTTGTATGAGAAGACCGAGCTATCTTCTTTAAAAAAACCGAGGAGCTCTCCACGAGAAGACCAAGGGGTCTTCTACGAGAAGAAAGAGCAGTGTTCTGTGAAAAGGTCAGGAGTCTTTAGTGAAAAAACCGAAATGTCTTCTATGAGAAGACCAAAGGGGGCAGGAAGAAGATTCTGCTACAAAAAAGATCCAGGTGTCTTCAGAAGCAGAAGATTTTGGAGTCTTCCAGCAGAAGATATAAGAGAAGAAAACTTTGGTATTCAGGTCTTCTAGGAGATGACTCTGGAGTTTCTTAATAGAAGGGGTCTTCAATATGAAGACTTTGTGGTCTTCTTAGAAAAGACCTTGTGGTTTTTTCCATGGGAAGACTGTGTGGTCTTCTTCTATGAGGAGAGCTAGGGATCTTTTATGAGAAGACTATAGATAGGTCTAGTGGTTTTCAAGCTGAGAACTTTGGGGTCTTCTAAAAAAAAATCTAGGGGTCTTTTGATAGAAAGCTAATATGGCTTGTTTGCTGTTTTCTGAGGGTAAATTTTGAGATTATCTTTGTCTTTTGTAGGAAGACCTTGGAGTCCTCTATAAGAGGTCTTCTAAAGAAAACTTTAGGGTCTTACATAAGACGACCTTGGGGTCTTCTATAAGGAGACTTTGGGATCTTTCATAAAAAACCTTGGAGTCTTCCATAGGGAGGCCTTGGGAGCTCCCATAAAAATAATTTGGGGTATTCTATAAGATGACCTTGAAGTCTTCCAACAGATGACCTCAGGGACTTGGGGGTTTTCTAAAAGTAGACCTGGGATCATCTATAAGATGCTATTGGGTGTCTCCTGGTGGCCTTCCACGAGAAGAGGGTGTGCTCTCTTCTATGAGAAGAGTGTGTGCTGTCTTCTATGAGAAGACCGTGTGCTGTCTTCTATGAGAAGACCGTGTGCTGTCTTCTATGAGAAGACCGTGTGCTGTCTTCTATGAGAAGACCGTGTGCTTTCTTCCATGAGAAGAGCGTGTGCACTCTAATATGAGAAGAACGTGAACTCTCTTCTATGAAAAGAGCGTGTACTCTGTTGTATGAAAAGACTGTGTGAGAAAATTTATGAAAAGACTTTTAAAGACTTATGTGTCTTCTCTGAGGTGACCCAGTGTTCCTCTGTCAGACTAGCAAGGGTCTTCAATGATGATAGGTTACGATTTTTAATGATAAGACCCTGTGCTCTTTTCGGAGAAGATCTCGTGCTCTTCTTTGAGAAGACCGCGTGCTCGTCTCTGAGAAGACCACGTGCTCGTCTCTGAGAAGACCACGTGCTCGTCTCTGAGAAGACCACGTGCTCGTCTCTGAGAAGACCACGTGCTCGTCTCTGAGAAGACCTAGTGCTCTCTCTGAGAAGACCTAGTGCTCTTCTCTGAGAAGACCTAGTGCTCTTCTCGTGCTCTTCTCCGAGAAGACCTCGTGCTCTTCTCCGAGAAGACCTCGTGCTCGTCTCTGAGAAGACCTCGTGCTCGTCTCTGAGAAGACCTCGTGCTCGTCTCTGAGAAGACCTCGTGCTCGTCTCTGAGAAGACCTCGTGCGCTTCCCTGAGAAGACCTCGTGTTCGTCTCCGAGAAGACCTCGTGCTCGTCTCTGAGAAGACCACGTGCTCGTCTCTGAGAAGAACTCGTGCTCTTCTCTGGGAAGGACGTGTGCTCTTCTGTGAGAAGGCCATGTACGCTTCTATTAGAAGACGTGTACTCTTTTAGGATAAGAGATTGTGAGAAGATTTGTGAAAGACCTCGTGCTGACCTCGTGCCCATTAATAAACTTTGTTGTAGAATTTAAATCATTGAAAGACTTCTAATGACATTGTAGCCTATGTGAGGAGATCATTGTTAAGATAGTAAGACCTCTTCGCATTTATAAGAAGATCTTTGGTTTTCTATGTTAGGATTTTTATTTCGGTTGTTTGAAGCATCTGTTGCCTTTGTTGGTAAATGGTAATGTGGTAAATGTGAGGTGTGCTCGTCTTTTTTTCAATAGACCCATCTGGTATATCAGAAAAAGAGCTGTCCTGTCTTTTTATTTTTTTTTTAAAGGAGACTTGTTCTTCCTTTAAGTAAAAGATGTAGGATTACTGGTTCGGTTTTTGGATCACCTTTAGTTAGGCTTTCTGGTCTTCAATAATAATTTGAGCTTGTCTTTAGACTTTCCTGTGAAGACTAACCAATGAGCTTTTGGATTAAACGTTGAAAGGTTTTCAATAATTATATATGCGTGTCTTCTATGAAAAGGCTAATTGGTCTTTTTCAAGGAGACATAAGGGTCTACTTCTAAAGGACCTATTGGTTTTTAAAAATATTCGTTGGTATTAATGAGTACTTCTTTATCAGAAAAAGGTCCACATGCCTTATACATCTGGTATTCTTCTTAGGCCTTGTTCTGGGAAAATACATTCTTTGTTCCTACATTCCTCTACAAAAGTTTATTTTCAGATTTTCGTAGAACGAGGATTAAGGCCCAGAAGCTATCTTTACATTTTCCAATTGATTGGTTTTAGATTAGGTACTAAAAGTTCTCATATATTTTTTCGGATCCCAGATTTTTTAAGATTTTTTTTTTCTGATTTATCGTCGCTTCTTCCTATTTATACAGGAATGCAAGAGAGAATAGGTGGCCCTCTTGCATTGCCGCGTATTTGCTTTTCAGTGAGGCATTATTTGTGGTTAATTTACTTTGCTCTCAACACCTGTAGAAATGGCTCAAAAGAATTGTTTGAATTGTTTGTTCATTTGCTATCAAATAAATCAAGCCTCCGAGAAAAAGAGTATTAAATTTTATACTTTAATTTCATGCGAGTTTAACATTAAATGCCTTTATTAATTTCATATCACATAAATTTATTTATTTATTTTTTTTTATTTCCTTTTCCACAGCTACTTCATCATTGCTGCCATACCTGACCATTCACATGCAATCGATTGGCCTGACCGTGGAGGAAATTGCCATTATTTATTTGGCCCTGCCATTTACGACATTTTTAAGTCCACCCATCACAGGTGAGTCAGTTGAAATTCAATTGAACATTGTTGTACTGAACGGGTTTATCTGGCGAAGCAGATTTATGAGATGCCAGCAAAAAAGGATGTTAAAAGTCTGTCCTTTTCTTAAATGTGAATAAATAATTATTGGGAAATTTAATTAACTTGAAAATTTCGTTAGGATGAATGTGTCTTCCAGTCGCATGCTGGCAGTTGAGCAAATAATGCTCATCTTTCGATGAGCTACTTTTCATGGTTTAACTTATCATTTTGGTACTGTAGAAGCAGGAGCAGCAGTAATATCCTCATTGAGATAAGCATTTCCCTTGGGGGGCCAAACCTCAAACGTTGCAATATTCGAAATGATGATGAATTTTAATTAACACAATATCTTATACAATTGTTGTAGTAGTTGGTGTTGTTGTTGTTATTGCTGTTTGTGTAAACAAACACACATTTAAACATTGGTTATATTTATATGAATATTAATTGCACATTTGGCCATGTGTAAAATATTGAAATGCATGGGAGTTCTATTCTCATTAATAGTGGGGCTGAAAAGTCCCAGTCTTTTGGCAATTTAGGTGATGTAGGCTACAATTTCTATACCCTCAACCAAATCAGTTTTTCATCTGAACTTAGGTATTTTTTTATTGAAGACAGGGGCATCAGTACATTCTTTTAATTATCTTTTATAGAAGTAAGAGTTCTAAAGGGGTCCCTATAGGGTCTTTTGTATATTTTTGTATATTCTGTATTTTTTGTATATTCTGTAGGCCGTTTATATGAAATATTCTGAGAATATTTCTCGGAAAGTCATCAATAGGGAATGTTTCGAAAATTCTTTTGCTGATAAAAATATCTTTCTCTCTCTCTCTCTCTTAAAAAAAAAACATTGAAGTAGAAGGCTTCTGAAAAATCGTTCATTGCTAGTAGACCCTGGGAAGACCTTCTACATATAGGTCTCGGAAAGGCCGTCTATAAATATATGGCCTCTGAAAGGTCTTCCATAGATGATTTTTATACCCTACACCACATAGTGGTAAGGGTATTATGTCTTTGTGCATTTGTTTGTAACATGGAGAAGGAAACGAGATAGACCCATAGTTACTTTTGAGAACCTTCATAGAATCACTTTCTGAGTCGATTTATGCATGTCCGTCCGTCCGTCCGTCCGTCTGTCCATGTATTCTTGTGAACAAAATGCAGGTCGCATTTATTATCCGATTGAGATGAAATTTTCCAAACAATCTTTTTTTGGCCCAAGGACGAACCCTATTGAAATTGGTGAGAATCGGATCAAATTTAGATATAGCTCCCATATATATCTTCATCCGATTTCGGGTTAAATGAGCACCAAATGTTCACTATCAGTCCAATTAACTGAATTTTGGCACACCCAATCGAGTTCGGCCTAGAAGCAAGTATATCAAATTTGGAGAAAATCGGTTCAGATATAGCTATAGCTCCCATATATATCTTTCATCCGATTTGATCTTTAAGTCCCTAACATTCCTACTATGCACTCCACAACCGTGATATTTGGTACCAGGTATTAGATGGAGCACAGAAATAGCTGTTTTAAATTTTATCGAAATCGGTTCAGATTTGGATATAGCTCCCATATATATCTTCATCCGATTTCGGGTTAATTGACCACCAAATGGCCAATATCAGCCCAAATGGCCCGAATTTTGTCACATGTGACCGAGATTAGCCTTAAAGCAAATACAACAAATTTGAAGAAAATCGGTTCAGAAACAGCTATGGCTCCCATATATATGTTTTATCCGATTTGGTGTTTAAGCCTCTCACATTCGTAATATGCACTCCACAAGAATGATATTTGGTACCAGATATAAGATATTTGGTACCAGAAATAGCTGTTTGTAATTTTATCGAAATCGGTTCAGATTTGGATATAGCTCCCAAATATATATATCTTCATCCGATTTCGGGTTAATTGTGCACCAAATGGCCGATATAAGTCCAAATGGACTGAATTTTAGTACATCGGACCAAATTCAGCCTAGAAGCAAGTATATCAAATTTAGTGCAAATCGGTTCAGATATAGATATTGCAACCATATATATGTTTCATCCGATTTAGTGTTTTAGTCCCATACATTCGTAATATTCACTCCACAACCGTGATATTCAGTCTAGAAGCTAATACGTAAAATTTGGAGAAACCCGGTTCAGAGATAGCTATAGAATTAGATAGAATTATATAGATTTTGATTTTGTACCAAATATCTCATAGAGCTCTGAAATGCCCTGTATAAACCTTTTTACGAGAGCTCTACTAAATATGCATAGTGGTGTAGGGTTTCATATAGTCGGCCCCGTCCGACTTTTGAGCTTTCCTTACTGGTTTTATTAATAAAAGGCTATAAGAAAACTTTCTATAAATTGAAGACCTCGATTGAAAACAATAAACCCATATTGAAACTCTGAATAGTTTTCTTTAGATAGAAGAAGACCATTGAATGACTTTTACTAAAAAAATTGTCTTTGAAAGGTGCTCCACAGATAGAAATTCCTACTATAGGTCTTCCCTATAATCAATCTCTATTTATGAAAGGCCTTCCATCTTTTGAAGGCCTCTGAATGGCTTTTATAGGTGGAAGGTCTCTATGTATAGAAGGCTTAATAAAGGCTTTCAGATGGAAGTGGTCTGATAGGCTATCTCTAGATTAAGATCTTTGAAAAGATTTTTTTAAAAAGCCCTTCCATCGATAGAAGGCCCCTGAAGGGGTCTATATGGAAGGTCTCCAGAATAATGTTTTTTTAGATGTAGGGCCTATGAAAGACTTCAAATGGAAAAGCTCTGAAAGATTTTCTCTAAGACAGAAAGCGTTGGAAAGGCCTTCTACAGTCCATGTACTCCAAAAAGGAATTCTTTAGGGCTAAGATCGCTGAAAGCCTTTCTATATGTAGAAGACAATAGCGAAATCAGTTTTAAATAGATTTTCCCTAAAAGGTCTTCTGTATGGCTCTTTTAACTATAGAAGACTATTCAAAAGTCATCTAAGATTAGAATTCCACTGAAAGATCCTCTTTTGACAATACACCTCTGAAAGGTCTCAGGGAGGATGCTGATATTTTAGAAGTCTTTTATTTCAGTTTATATCTCCACAGTTTGAAAACCGATGATAGAGGAGTATATAGAGGTCTATAGATAGGGGATCTCTGGCATTTTTTATGTAAAGAAGTCACAGAAACTTCTCAATCTGTATATGGAAGGTCTCCTGTTTTTTTTAATATAAGGCTATGGCTTTTTACAAGTGGAAGAGCTCTGAAACGTCTTCTCTAAGTAAACGGCCCCTGAATTTTACTGAAAAAACCCTTGACGAGAAATTCTAAATTTCCTGTAATCCAAAATGAATCCTTCTTTAGATAAAAGGCCACAGAAAAATCTTATTTTTTGGCAGAATATACCTAAAGGCCTTCTCTAGGAAACATGTTCTTCTGAAAGCTATTCTGACTGTAAAAGACCTCTGAAACTTTATATAAATTTAGAAAGCCACTGAAAGATCATCCCTTGATAAAAGACATCTTAAAGGTTTCAAGAATGGCTTCTAAAGGTTGATTATATTTTAGAAGTCTTCTATAGAACGAAAATTTCGTAGCGGTCTTTTATAGAAGAGAGGGGGACGAAAGGTCCTCTACAGATAGATAACCGATAATATCGGAGTATATAGAGGTTTATAAAGAGTGATTTGTTAAGAGCTTGATAACTTTAAAAAAAAAAAAAAAAAAAAAAAAAAAAAACGCATAAAATTTGCAAAATCTCATCGGTTCTTTATTTGAAACGTTAGATTGGTCCATGACATTTACTTTTTGAAGATAATTTCATTTAAATGTTGACCGCGGCTGCGTCTTAGGTGGTCCATTCGGAAAGTCCAATTTTGGGCAACTTTTTCGAGCATTTCGGCCGGAATAGCCCGAATTTCTTCGGAAATGTTGTCTTCCAAAGCTGGAATAGTTGCTGGCTTATTTCTGTAGACTTTAGACTTGACGTAGCCCCACAAAAAATAGTCTAAAGGCGTCAAATCGCATGATCTTGGTGGCCAACTTACCGGTCCATTTCTTGAGATGAATTGTTCTCCGAAGTTTTCCCTCAAAATAGCCATAGAATCGCGAGCTGTGTGGTATGTAGCGCCATCTTGTTAAAACCACATGTCAACCAAGTTCAGTTCTTCTATTGTTGGCAACAAAAAGTTTGTTAGCATCGAACGATAGCGATCGCCATTCACCGTAACGTTGCGTCCAACAGCATCTTTGAAAAAATACGGTCCAATGATTCCACCAGCGTACAAACCACACCAAACAGTGCATTTTTCGGGATGCATGCTTATTTACGTAGCCATTTGTCGATAAAAAAGCGGATTTTCTGCAAACTTTTCTAGGGCCCATTCACTGAAAATTCGACGTTGTGGCAGATCGTTCGGCTTCAGTTCTTGCACGAGCCGTATTTTATACGGTTTTACACCAAGATCTTTTCGTAAAATCTTCCATGTCGTCGAATAACACAAACCCAATTGCTGCGAACGGCGACGAATCGACATTTCAAGGTCTTCAGCTACACTCTCAGAAACAGACGCAATTTTCTCTTCTGTACGCATTCGTGTGGTTGGTTTAATGTCCAATAAAGTAAACTGAGTGCGAAACTTGGTCAAAATCGCATTAATTGTTTGCTCACTTGGTCGATTATGTAGACCATAAATCGGACGTAAAGCGCGAAACACACTTCGAACCGAACACTAATTTTTGTAATAAAATTCAATGATTTGCAAGCGTTGCTCGTTAGTAAGTCTATTCATGATGAAATGTCAAAGCATACTGAGCATCTTTCTATTTGACACCATGTCTGAAATCCCACGTGATCTGTCAAATACTAATGCATGAAAATCCTAACCTCAAAAAAATCACCCTTTAGATAGAAAATCTCTGCAAGTTTCTTTTTTGGAAAGAAGTCCATACGAAGGTTTTCCATCAATAGAAGGCCTCTGAAA